TTTTTATTCCTCCTGCAGGAATTTAAAAGAAGAGGGGAAAGGTGATTCTTGCCATTTCAAGAGTAGTTGTTGAGATGTCGGGCGGCTGAAGATTGAAATGAAGAGGGGCTCCAGAGAGCTCTTAACTCAGTGCTTTCTCCTCTGGATCAACTTCACACTCTCCCCTAGGTCTCGGGGGTCTAATGCTACCTTAAAGGAGCTGTTGGATGAAATTGTGAGGGTGGGTGTTCACCAACAGATATTCTACCAAAGCGTTTTTCAAGCTGTCCCTTGAGGGGGATGGAGCCAGCTGGTTTTTGTTTTTTTAACAACACTCATCAAGTGATTTCTTTTCTTTTTTTAAGTGTGTTTCATAATGTGCTGAGTACCCAGGGAGATACCTCAGGGTATTGTTTAAAAATAAAAGTCATGTGATGAATCTCCCTCTTTCTCCATCTGTCCTCGTTGAAGCTGGTTTCTGCACAGTCATCATTAAAGAGCTGAATCATGTGATGACGTTTATAACACGTCTAAGCCAATCAGGTGTCACGACTGGCCTTAACATGACCTGGCTGCATCCTGAGGTCAGAGGTCAGATCCTGCACAGGAGAGACAGAGAAAGGCCATAAAACTACTTTACTTAAGGACATACTAAATATTAATCACTTCTCAATCTTGATAGCTTTTGCATTTCATTACGATGTTTTCTTTTCAAAAACAGTTGATAATTCCAGTACAATGTGTGTCTCGATCTCATCGTCTCAGCCAATATTTATACAGCTTGTTCAGCGGGTAGCATTGATTAGTTAGGTAAACTGATCAGGGGACTAGTGACCTTTTAATCCCTGTTGTTTTACTCTTTGACCTCCTGTTCAGAGACTTGAAACTGAGTAAAATATCTCGTTTTATTTCCTGTTTCATTACGTGTTACTTGTTAGACACTTTTATCCAAAGTGACTTACATACTCAATACTGTGGACAATCCCCACAGGAGCAATTTGAGGTGAAGTGTCGACATGCTGACTGCAGAGGGGTTTGAACCTGTGCCCCCCTGATCCGAACACCAACGCACAACCCACTGCGCCACACGCCTCGATTTTTGTTTCTTCCCTTCGCTGGCTCACTTCCAGTTCAACAGACGCAGCTCGTTTCCGCTTCTTTCTTTTTTAATCCCGCTCTCACGGCATGCGATGCTTCTCTTAATGCCTCCACACATGCAGATCAGGGGCAGCGCAGACTGAATCCAAGTAATGGATCTTCTTAACGACTCCCACTCAATTACAGGAGGTTAATGCAAGCCACCTCAGCGTTGCTCATCCTCGCGCTAAAAAATGTCCGTGAGCACGGGGGGGCAAAACGTGTGGGAAGGTGAGATTGCATGGGTGTGGGTCAGTGACAACATTAATCACTTTCTCTCTCCGTGTGTGTGTGTGTGTGTGTGTGTGTGTGTGTGTGTGTGTGTGTGTGTGTGTGTGTGTGTGTGTGTGTGTGTGTGTGTGTGTGTGTGTGTGTGTGCACGTGTGCGCCACTTTAAAGGGCTCACCTGCTGCAAAGTGTTGAGGAGTCAAAGATGGACGGTGTCCTCTCAGGCAGGAGGTGTGAATCTAAATAAAGAAGAATGATTTACCTAAAGGGAGGTTTTTTCATTATTAAATGTGTTTTTCTGCAAGTGTCTGAATAATTAGGGCTGTTTAATTTACTACCAATAAGCTTATAAACAGAGAGGAACCTCCATGCTCTACTCACAGATTTGAAACCAAATCAACTTGTAGCTTGTTTTTAATTTTAGTTTACCAAAATGTGTTTCTGCAAATGATAGGGATAATGATATGTTTACACTCTTGTTTTTCATAGTATTCTTAGCTCAAAATCAACGTTTTGATGTCACGATGCATCTCAAAGTTGCTCGGCTTCATTCCTAGCTTAAAACTATTTTGAACCAAATCAACTTGACAGCTTGTTTTTGGATTTGTTTTACTAAAACAGTTCACCAAGTTGTGTTTCTGCGACTGATAAGGGTGAGAAATAATCCATGCAGCTGCCGAGTCGACTTCATTTTTGGATATTTTTGTTTACGGGACTGGTAGATATTTACACTTTTGCGCCTTCGAGTTTTTTTCAGTTTCTCATAGTTATCTTTGCTCAAAATGATGTCACGATGCATCTCAAAGTTGCTCGGCTTCATTCCTTGCTTGGTAGTATTTTGAAAATGAGTCCATGAAGTTCCCTTCCTGAACCAGAGCTATTTCTAAAAAGTGTGTAGTCACGGTTGAGCTCTTTGCACGCTACCACTTCCCTTTATCTACTCCTCTACCTTCGGTGCCAAGGTGTTCTGCGACAGGTTCTCCGGGATCGAAGGCTTGGCACCGGACGACGAGCCTCAAATGTTCTCGCCAGAAGTCGTGAAGCGATGTGCATCCTCTCTGAGACACAGGTTGTCTCACTTAGCTGCTGATAGGTTTAACCTAATCAGAAGCAGAGGCATTCATTTCAGAGGGAATTTCGTAGCTTTACTTCAGGCAGTGTCATGAGAATTTGGCCACTTTTCTCCCTGTGTGCCAGAGGCTAATGGATGGACTATATAGAAATGTGTGACCCCTAAATCCTTGAGCTTTATCCCTGCATTGCTTTCGCTCTTAGGAAACAGCGTGTGATCAGTATTCAGCGAGCCTTGTTTTCCCATCTTGTCTGAGACTCTTCAATCTTTTCTCGTTAGATTTTAATAGGTTGTATATAGCTCAGGTCATAGAGGACTTCACAGTGACGAATGCAGATTGTTTCCGTGCACTGGATTGGAGTTGTTGAAGTATTGCAGTACAGGACAGATACTCTTCACCTGTGTGGGAGGAGACTCAGAGTTGAGCTGTGAAAAGAAGAAGGGCACCAGCTGATCCCTGCAGCGCTGTAAAGAGTCTCTGCTTTTTGTTCTGATGAAACATGGAGTGCTATAAAGAAGATACTTCTCAGTCTGCAGCAACGCAACACACTGTCACAGTCACCTTACATTGCTCACACACACTCTCATTTAAAACAGACCTCTGCCCGGACAATTAAGGTCACATTTAATCCATCTAGGTCAATAAACCCCGGTCAAGGTAAAGCGCTGGCCTGGCAGGGTTATACAAGATGTTCTTTCCCATTCAGTCACTGAGCTGCAGGGAACAATAGGGAAGCATCGGGACTTCTAAGCGAACAGAAGTTTTTAGTTTGCAGATACTTTTCTTTTATCACTGAAAGCAAACATTGATATTCTGAGAGAGAGCGAGGGATTTATAGACTGAAGCCAACAGGTGGAGCCAAAGTCCTTTTATCCTCTCATCACACACACACACACACACACACACACACACACACACACACACACACACACACACACACACACACACACACAGAGAGAGAGACAGTGCATACACACACACATTGTACACACACACACAGAGACATACACACACACAGAGAGAGAGAGAGAGATAGTGTACACACACACACACACACACACACACACACACACACACACACACACACTGTACACACACACATACACATCGAGACAGTGCACACACACACAGACACAGTGTACACACACACACACACACACACACACACACACACACAAACACACACGCACACACACACACACACAGAGACAGTAGACAGTAGACAGACACACACGTACACACACACACACACACACACACACACAGAGACAGTGTACACACACACATACACATCGAGACAGTGCACACACACACAGACACAGTGTACACACACACACACACACACACACACCTCCCCAATTTCCAAAATAGATTTCTGACCTACTTTTTCCTCCCTGTTTAAATGCTGACTTTATAACCCATCCATCAAAGTTGAATATAATGACTCATTTCCTTCTTTTGTCATTTGTTCTCATTACCGTGCTATCGTCTCCTGTCCATGCAAACTAAACGTCGACATGCTTTCATTTCCATTACATCCATTTAGCCTCTCCTGCATCTTCTCCTGTGTGCTCCATTCCGTCCTCTCAGTAACGACAGAGCTCGACCCCAGATCCAATGAAGGCTCTTTGAGCACGTTGTCTCTCAGTGATCCTGCTGTTATGTTTAATGTTTGTTGTTTCTTTTTCATGTATTGTGTCTTGATATTTGTCTGTTGATGCGTCAACAATTCGGGGCCGGTATGTTAGAGCCACAAAGTTATTATTTCGATTCATAATTTGATAAATGATTTAATGATGGAAAATGATTTATATTGCCATGGTGAATATGTTTTGATGAAGTGATTGTTTATTTTTATATCACAAATATGATCTGTTTCCGTGTACCTTCCGGTGTTTATTTAAGGGAGGTAATTGAGGACAGCCGATGTGCTCGGAGACCTGATGAGACGGGGAGCGGAACAGTTTTTTGACCGCAAATTGCCGACAGAAATTAGTGTTGCAAATTGGACTGCAAACAAAGTATAGTTTAGTTTATATAGGAAAGCATACCGCCGAAATATTGTTTAAAGATTTGTTATTTT